TGTTTATGTCAGCACCAGAAATGAAGTTGCTGGTGGTGGCCCTCTCCTTTCTCCTCTCCTGATTCAGGGGCTCTATGGGCAGAGTATGAGAGAAGGATCTCCCAATGCTGTGACCATTGCATCTACCTGGGGACATGGGTGGGGAAGGTCCTCATTCCTCTGCTGTCTCTCCTCACCAGGAACTGCTGGCAACTACTGCTGGTCCTGGAGGCTGAAATCAACCCTCTCCACTCCAGATATGCTTTTTGAGCTTCTCAGCTAATTTTTCATCCCGAGGGGGCATCTGCCATTTTTCAGCATCTGCTCATCATTCATTGAAGGAGATGCATGGGAACCCACCATTCTGTGTGCTGGCAGAAGCTGAATTTTCAGCTGACCTGGGAGGAGAAGCATGTTTTTGCAGTGGGTAGGAGCTGGACTGATTTAGCATGACACATATGCTGTGGAGGGAAGCATGTGTCCCATGCTTTTGTCTGGGACACAAGTTAGGGGATGGTTGTAACAGAGCTTTGGGAAAAGAAGAGCCCAATTCTTTCCCTTTTTCCCTTTTTCCCTTTTTCCCTTTTCTTTTCTTTTCTTTTCTTTTCTTTTCTTTTCTTTTCTTTTCTTTTCTTTTCTTTTCTTTTCTTTTCTTTTCTTTTCTTTTCTTTTCTTTTCTTTTTTTTGAGAAGGGCAGAGTGCGGAATATTACAGAAGATCCATTACCCATTGTAGCTTGTCATTGCTCCTGTCAGTGAAGTCCAGATGAAGGATAGGCCAGAGAAAGTGATCAATGCAGAAGATTGCTGTTACTAAGAAAAGCAAATGCACAGTGCTAAGTGAAGATGTGTTTTTGATCAGCATTTCGTACTCTTCACAGAGAGAAGCCCAGGGGCAGTGTTCCTGCAGGCAGTGCTAGGGAGGAGAAGCAGCCATTATAGCTGTGAGATGACCTTCTCTATGAAAAGAGGTATCCAGCTATTGAGAACTACCTGATGTCCGTGGGCTTTCAAGAAGCTGCAGCCATGTAGGAGTCATCTTACTGTGTACAGGTGTGAATCCCCTGCTGCTCACTGTGTCCATCCAATGGAGGACTGTGATGACAAGCTCTTGCAACGGAGCTTGCTGCTTCAAGCTTCTGATCTGGAAGAAATGCACAGTAGGAGAGCATGAATGCTGGCCCTGATGCTTTGTCCTGGCCCACCCCTACCAAGCAGGTTGCAGTGATTCCTTGCAGTTCATTGACCAAGATGGGGGAGATGTGGGAAAGCTTGGTATCTTTTCTATGGTCAGCGTGGAAATCGGTTTCCTGTTGCATGCTAGGCTTGAACAAGTTACTGTCCATCATTGCCTGGTGGACTATGGGAGAGGGGTTTTAGCTTTGAAGTGCATGAGGCACTTCACTGTCTCTTCTAGTTAATGCATGTTCTCTTTGAGGCACATACCGGCTGAGCTTCAGCTATGTTCATAAAGTGCATCTAAACCAACGTAGTTAGACTGCTGGATCTATTTTGCTAGCTTAAACTGAATGAGGAGGGGCATGATCAAACAAGGGGAATCTATGTGGAAAAGATAATCTTGAGCTTGGCTTTGTTGTTTGCAATGATGGCTCTTTCAATACCACATGAGAAGTTTTGGCTTGTCCATATGCACAGTACAATGCAGCCACAGACCCTAAGTAATCTTGTGTTGACTCAAGTGCAAATAACTTAATCTTATGTTTTGCAGGTTGACAAAATCCGTATCAAATTTCATGTCTTATATCAAATAATTCTCCTAAAGAACTTGTTTAAAACATCTACATTTAATACTTATTTGTAGAGACACAGTATACGTGTCTCTACGTATAACGGCTTGGTCTGACTAGCAGCTAATCAGATGATAACCAGATTCCTGCTTCTCAATTCACGTGGCCAGGCATTGCTGCCATGTGGCACTTGGCCACAGCACGTTCGACCTTGGAAGGCAGCGTGGCTCTCTCCCAGAGATGCAGAACATATAATATTATTTATACATGTCTTTACAATGCAATCAAGTTTATCTTTGATGAACTTTCAGTCTCTTAGTGCTATTTTCTGTAATAAGTTTTTTATATTTAAAATATAAGGAACATTGTTGTTAAACACGTCACTTTGTTTATCAGTAAGAATTACTTTTTCTACTTTAGGTTATATTCTTTACTTGGTTTTGTGGTTTAAATTGAGCTTGAGACCTTCAGGGCCTCAGTAATTGTGGACTCCCCATAGCAAGTCTAGTGGGGAGCATCAGAGAGCAGGCAGTCGAATAAAATCAAGGGCCATGGTATATTTCTCCTTATGAGGAATACAGCCACTCCTAACGCATTTCTTGCATCTCTCCCTTATTTTTTTCTTTCCTTTATATCAGTTTATGGGTCAAAAAGGCAGACAAACCACTAGCTCTCACTTCATGTGTAACACAGGCCTTGGAATTTTACCCAGTGTCTCTTTCAACTGATGCCATAAACTTTAAAAAAAATTATTATTAAAGGACAGCTTGAAAAAATTAACATGGCCTTTATTTGAAGACTTTGAGAGATAGTTTACCATTTTTATTGACAGATGGCTAGGACAATCATTCTCATCGTTGAGTATATTATGTCTTATTCTACTCTGAACATGCCTAAATATAACTTGCAGCTGTTGATTCTCACTGTGCCTTTCTCTGCAGGTTACGGTGCCACCAGTACTCTGTATTTTCTGTGGTGTAATTGAGAGATACTGGTTTAGTAAGACCAGAGTAATGTCTCAAAGTGCCCCCTGTAAGGTGTTTTCTGACCTTCCTAATTGGTCCTGTCATTTTGCTCTGGACTACCTCCAAGCTTTTGACATATTAAAAAACCATGTGGGCGTCTGCACTGCCGATGGGTGTTGCAGCTTCAGGCTTTGCTGGGCTTCCGACTCGGCGCTGTCAGTCGCAGGGGACAGTGACTTCTCCAGTGGTTGCCAATGAGGTTCCTGCTCTTGGCACCTTGTCCTTCCTCCCTGGCTGCACAGGAGCCAGCTATCACACTCCCACCAATTATCTGGGGGTGTCTCTGAATGCAGCAGGCAGTACAAAAAGCTTCTGTGAGTCCTGCTCCACAGTAGCAGCCTCTGGGAGCGAGGGGACATTGACCCGTATTGACACCACGGGTCCCTTGGAGCTCCCCTTCCCGAGTCCCAGGTGGTTTACCCCTCTGCGCGGGGCTCAGCCTGCCTGTTCACCGGCCATGGAGCCACGCAGTAGGCCTGAGTCCACAGAGCGGTGTGGGAGATGCACAGACAGAAGACAACCATTGGAACTAAAAATACTTACTTATTGGCAACGCATCAAAAATGAAGAGGAAATGATACAAGTGAAAGCTGCTTCCACCAGCAGTTACATTCTGCCCATGGTCACTCTTACGTGTTCCCACAGGTCAGGCAACTGATAGGGATTCAGGGATCAACAGCATTGAGACAGCGTGGTGGTCCAGTACCTGAAGTGACTCCGCTGGCATTACTGAGCATCTTATCTTGTTTGAGTATGTTCAGCTGGCCAGGTGGCTTGTGTTGATCTGAAGGACTCCCTCCGCTTTAGCTACTGATCTTGCCATTTGCAAATTCTGTCAACAATATTTTTTACAATTGTTATCTCCTGATGCAAATATTAAACAGCACAGTTCTTGCAGAGAAGCACGTGCTTTCAGCAGTGATTGCTGCTTCTTTTTGGACAATGAATTTTTGCAATTTGTCTGTTAGCTAGTAATTAATCCATATAATGCAAATTATGATGTATACATACACTATTATTTTTTCTTCAGAATTTACAAATTTCTTGGTTTGTTAAATCTGCACCAGTGCTTTTATCAACCAAATAATATTTCTTCAAAGAATGAAGTCAGGTTTGTTTCTCACAACTTTTTTTTTTTTTTTTAACATACTAAATTATTGTTATTTTCATTGTTGAAGCCTTTGTTAGCTAACTTGCAATAACTTCACACTCTCTTACCTATGATTATTACTACAAAACCATCTAACAGTCGGTGTCTTCTCGCTTTCTCTCTGTGAACGCTGGCCCAAAAAAAAAATTGGGATTTCTCTAGTATGCCAGGATTTTTAAATACCAAACTCCATTGGGCCAGGTGCCTCCTCAGCCAAATCTTTTATGATTCTGAGATGCAAACTTTCTGATCTGAAAATACTCACTCTTAATAGATGCTGTTAAAACCTTCCTTAGTTTGCAAATAGATTAGGAAGTTGTTCACCATCCTTGTGTAGTATGAATACAGAATTCTGTTTCTTTCTGTATACAAACAACTATCTTCTCTGTATCAAAAAACCTCCATCAAAAATCTTCTCTATCAATCAACAGTTTTACCTATATCCACCCAGCAAGAGCCTAGGCCGTTGCTAGCATTTCTTGGTTTTCAACGTATTTTGAAAAAACTCCTTCCAAGTGCCATTGCCACTTGCAGCAATCCAGTTTTTCCAGATTATTTTGAACACTCCTTATCACCTTGTATGCTTCATAAATTCTTACTTTTATTGTGTGCCATATACCTCCTTTCCATCCACACTTTCCTTCTGCTTTTTTTCCCCCCTGTTTGTTATATTCAAGATTTCTAAGTGTTACCTTCAAATTCCCTGTTAGGCAGGAAAATTGTTTAATTGTGTCTGTCTTTTTCACAACAACAGAACCACAGGTCTTCTCCACCTTGTAAATTTCTAGCAGTGAAATTTCTATTAAAAATTTTATTGTAGCTTTCTCCTGGAGAGTCATATTTTTCTGATTGCTTGATTTGTGATAAGTTTAACCCACAACTTCCTCTGTTTGAGGATTTACCATTTTGAAGTATCAATTTTGCCTACATATTTGCCCAACTTCAGTTAAAACACATACATACATAAATATCTTAAACACCTGCCTCATAGACGTTAACCAAATGTACCTATATACATCTACAGATACATACCTACATACATGTGTAAATATGTAAGGTTGTATACAACCTGCTTACAACATGTACACATACATACATATCTGTATACACACATACCTATATACAGTCATACAAACACTCATCTATATACAATTTAATTTTCCCTGAAACCAGAGAAGAGGCATTTCTAAAAACGAATGCATGTTGCCTGTGATGCAGCATCCCAGCAAAGAGCTGCGGCTATCGATGTTGCCCTCCCAAGATGAAGACATGTTTTTCTGTGAGTCCACCTCTGAACGGTCACTCGGCTCCTCCACCAAGGGCAGCCCTACCCCTCCCATACCGAGTAATAGCTCTGTTAATATTTGGACAGGACTGGCTCTCCTGGTAGGATGTGTCAAGGGACGGGAGACAAAGGACTGCAGGTGGGTGACACAAGGGTTTCCTCTATTCTGAAGCCCTTAGAAGTTGCTCAGACTTTGGTTTAGCTGAAAAGGAGAGAGAAAAAAAGAAGATGCAGGAAAACCAAAGCGGTGCAAAACATCACCTCATGCTGCCTTCCACCAGAAATGAGTCTCCAGCTCATCCGCTCCCCACCTCTCCCTCCAGGATCCTGGGATATCCTGACCTCCATCTCTCCTGAGCGGGAGTGCAGGGGAGAGGAAGATGCTCCTTGCTGCATCTCGCCCACAAGGGAAGTGGCTCAACTTTTTAAACTCCTACCTGCTTTTCTCCTGAGCACAATGAAGAGGACAACGATGAAAATGGCGGTAGCAATGAAACCCCCCACCAGTCCTTCCGATCCCGTTTGCTCTGCAAAGGAAGAGGAGGATCAGTGATGTTAGGTTGGCTGGAGTGGCTGAACAGCCAGCGAGTTGTTACAGTTAAAGAAGCTCCCCCAGCGTGCATGCTCTTGTCAGGTACACAGATGTGACACGACACACGTGCGCTAAAGCTACACAGACCCAGGGCCAGTTATACTGGCTGGACTGATGTGTTGTAACTTGTTAAACTGCAGTATTGTTTGCTTTTCCCTGCTGGGTCAGGAGACACAGGAGCAATCTCCCATCAGCAGAGAGAGTGAGAACCCCAACAGCTCCAACGGGGAGATGGATTTTTTGCTATAGTTCTCGTTCAGCTGGAGACTGATGCTGCTCGAGAACGATAGCAAAAAACTGGCATCTAACTACTTGGGGCATGGCTGTTTTCTTGTACCTGCCCAGCAGTACAAACTTTTGTTTGTACCTACGTGCTACGTGCTACAAACTTGCTCTGTTGCTCCACTTTTGGTCATAAAATCTCTTTTCCCCTGAAGGAAATGAGATACTTGCTCTCCAAAAGCTTCAGGGAGTGAAATAAAAGCTGAGGAAGTGAAAGGGAAAGGGAAGAGGAGGATTCAGAGGATGGGTATGAGAGGACACCAGAAGGAAAGCATGAAGAAACAGGCAGATGTGGTGTCACTCACAGGTTTTGATCCCTGTGGCAGGTAGATGAGATGGGAGGAGGTCTGGGCAGGATGAAGAACTCACTCCTCTGCCTCTGACACTTACCTGGTGCCTTAAGATGGGCGCTCACAGAGATGGGCTCTGCCAGGGCCACGTGTGAAACATGGCAGCTGTGGCTGGCTGGTGCCTGTGCTGTGGCTGAGCTGATGCTGAGGTAGGAGGTGATGCTGTAGGTGCCATCTTGGCTTTGCCGGTGGCTGGAGAAACGTGCGTTTGAGAGGGGGATTTCTGCGTCATCCTCAGGAGTCTTCTGTGTCCAGCTCACCGAGACGTCCAGGGGGTAATAGCCAGCAATGCTGCAGGTCAGAGTAGTTGTCACATCTCTCTCAAATGACACCACTGCTGGAATGACATGAACTCTTGGAGGCTCTGGAGGAGATAAAGAGGGAATTGACTTATTGTTAGCAGAGTACAAAAGTCCCCATCCACAAGGGAGAGAAGACAAGCTGCCTGTGACAATGACTGTTGGGAGCGATGGGATAAGGGTGCAGGGCAAAGTTTCAGTGCCTGGGGACATGGGTGTCCTGTTGCCACCAGGCATTTCCCTTCCTCACCGGCCACATGCAGCTGGATGATGTGCTGTGCCTGGTGCAGTGAGGTGGACACCAAACAGATGTACGTCCCTTCGTCTCCCACGCTCACTCCTTGCAGGCTAAGCGACGCGTCTCCACTCCCCAGCAGCTCCACCACATCCACATGGACTTTTGGCTCCGCTGCTGGGCCTGTGCTCCCCACCTGATACCAGAAAAGGCTATGGCCACTGCCTTGGTGCTGCCTCCTCCACTCCAGGGAGGAAAATGAGGAGCTGGGAGCCAAGGCAAAGCGGCAGTCGAGGGTGACCGAGCTGCCAAGATGCGTGTGCAGGGAAGTGTTGCATGATGACGATTGAAATTCAACTAGAAACAGAAAGAAGGGCACAGGCAAGCAGAGAGTTAAACAGATTTGGTTAAAGAAGGCACCCTTGGGTGGGAAGGGCTAGTGGAAGGGCTGGCAGTCAACTCCCCACCCGGAGGAGGAGGAGGCACAGGTGCCCTATGTGATGCCCCAGGGTTCATGTGGACTGAAGAGCTGGAGGAAGCCAGCCTGGTGGGGTTAGCAGGGCAGGGAGACAGGCAGACACCAAGTGCACATCATGGTCTTGAAGGTGCTTGTCATCTTCAGGGGCTGGGGCATGGGAAACCCTGACAGGAGGCAGGGTGGGGGGCAATCTGCATGTCCGCTTTTTCCCTAAGCATCAACTCCTGCCAGCCCTCAGGTCCTGGTGGGAGGTGGGGCATAGGATTCTTGGGGAGGCAGACTCCCCTCCCCTCATGTCCCTCAGTGCTGTGGGGGCACCCCGGGCCACCTGGTCACCTGTGGTCAGCAACGTCCCCTCCTTGCTCATAGGAATCCTCAGCTTTGGGTGCAGTGTTGCATCGTGCTCCTCCTCCCAGCTGCTGCAGTGGGGTCCTCTGAGCACCAGGGCAATACTGATGCTGCTGGAGAGCTGCAGGGTGGCCATGAACCAGGAGGTATGGCAGGGCCCCTCGCCAGGCCGCTGGAAGCTGTATGGGGAGATCTCGCAGTTCACCTCCTCCCCATCACAGTCCGCGTGCAGCATGGACTCTGCGTGTGGGATGGATACCGACTGGGCTGTGAGGATATAGGAAGAGGTTTAACTGTCTGAATCCAAAAGGGGAAAGAAAGTGCAAGCTGATGAGACACATTATTTTGGAGGAGCATCATGCGCTGTTGGGGTCACTGAGAGCCCAGAAATGCCAGGCTAGGCTTAAACAGATGAAGGCCTGCAAAGAATATGAGAGGTTTGTCATGACTGTCTTACATCCCTCAATCTGTCGGTTGTATTTTATCCTGCCAGATTGCACAGAGTTCACTTTGGGCAAAAGAAGCTGTTAGGGAAGGAGTATAAACAGAACAGATTCCCTTTAGCTAGCTCAAGAAAGCAAGCTGTGTATGTGATATGCCCAGGAAAGACCTGCAACGTTTATTCTTTTTAGGCCTGAATCCAGAAACAAAGGGGACACCGAAGCATCCCAGGTAAGGAAAGAAAGGGTGGCAGGAAGGTGGGAGTGGCTGGATGTAGAGACACACTGTATCTGTGCCTTTGATCATAGCATGAGCTTAAGCATAGGTGTAAGCATCCTAGTGACTCACACGCTTTCCACGGACATCACTGGAAATTAACTCTATGTCTGCAGTGCCTGACAGTAGCCTGGCTGTAGTGTGCTTGAACTCACCCACATCCAGTCCACCCACAGCACTTGAAGGAGAGCTTGGACCCATGCTAATGGACCTTGCTGGACCTTCAGCTTCCTCTCTGAAAATATCTCAGAGCCTCGAATAAGCTTGTACTGAAGCACATGCTCGCAGATAAGCACTGTAGGCAGCGAACAAGACCACAGCAAAGTACGGGCTCAGACCTTTGCTTGACTGTGTTTGCAAAGTTACGTGCAAAGCAAGGGGAACAGAGGCTGGACTGCAGGGTGGCACCCATGAGTGAAGTAAGGAGAGCCAAGTCGCACACAGCTGGCCTTCTGAGCAGGACAGCTCTGCTTCGTGCCCACTTACCACCATGCTTCCTGCTAGCAAGAAACACCCGCGTGACTGAAGATGTGAACGCTCTTTATGGGTGCAATAATACTGTATAGTGGAATAATTCCTGAGTTATTTTTGACAAAGTATTTCCCAAGAGATAGGCAATCTAGGATAGCTCCAGTAGGAGGGAGGTGCCTCAACAGGGCATTCTAACATCTTCCACAGCCTTCCTCTCTTAAAGTCCAAATTGCCGAATTCAGGGAATCACGCGTGTAACGTTAGTGGCCGTTCAAAAATCAATTGTCTAAACTCAGTTAAAGAAAAATCTCATAGAAGCCCGATGCAGGTAAGTGGCCAAAACCCCGTCGGGCAGCTCTCCCACCCCAGATCTCCCACTCACCTGAGGCTTCAAAGACAATGGGAGAAGAGGAGTCAGGATTTTTCTGTGGGACTTTGTACTCAGTTACATCATCCAAGTTCCCATCATCTCTGACGCTGATACCCCTCAGCACGAGAGTAGCAGGATGCTCGCCAGAGGCATGCAGCAAACCTCTTACATCTTCCCCCACATAGGAGCAGCCCAGGGCAATATCCACCCTGCGAAACGGAGGTGCTGGTGTGGGAGCTTTCACTGGCCCTTTAGGGAGGGAAAAGAACCGGTTGAATGCGTGAACCCCACTGCAAACAAAGAAGAGCGTATGAGTTTCTCTGGGATGGGGGATAAATAATTGGGAGGCTGGGGGCTGGCTGCCACTTTGGGGTTGTTCTCCCAGCCCTGCTGGCAGTGGACCCCTCTAGCCCTGTGCCACCCTCCTCTGGCAATGGTGTTAACCTTTAGGAAGACCCTAGTTTTCCCGACCTTCGCCAAAGGGGTGGGCTGGGGG